TAAGTGTTGAATGTAGTGACATGGTAAAGGCCTTGCAAATTTAAGTAGTTTTCATGAAGGCTTCATTGTGAGGAGATATTTGAGTAGAATCTTAAGAATGTGAGGGTTTTAAAGGCTTTAGCATGGGTTTCTTCCTGGGATTGAAAGGAGGCCAGTGTGGGCTGGGGTGGAGTATGCAGGGGGAAGAGAAGGAGGTGGCTTTGGGAAAGAGTAGGACAGTAGGAGGAGGTGTCTAATATGGCCTTACCTAGAGCATAATGATGACCAGCTGATATTGGACAACATGCATTTGAATAGACAGGACTGGTGTCTGCTTTAAAGGGCACTCTGGTCCGTGACATAAGAACAGCCCTGGCAGCACACTGAAGAAGGGCAATCAATGATAGTTTCAGGGAGAGCGATTTTCCAGAATTCAGGCAGGAGACACAGGTGGCTCTTTCCAGGATGGTGGCAGTGGAAATGATTGGAACTAACTTGAAGAAGACACTCTTAGCAACTTTTTTTTAAAATTTGTGTTAATGTTCATTTTATTTTTGAGAGAGAGAAAGAGAGAGAGCGTGAGCAAGGGAAGGGCAGAGAGAGAGGGAGACACAGAATCCAAAGCAGGTTCCAGGCTCTGAGCTGTCAGAACAGAGCCCCACGCAGGGCTTGAACTCATGAACCGTGATACCATGATCTGAGCTGAAGCCGGACACTTAACCAACTGAGCCACCCAGGCGCCCCACTCTTAGCAACTTCTGATGAACTAATGAGGCCAGAAGCAATTTTATAAAAAGTGGCCCTATGCTACAAAATGACTTTTTAAAAATATGATTTTTCAAAAACATATTTACCAGAGAGCTAGAGCTCTTGAAGAGAGGGTCATGAATAGTGTGGATTGGTGGCATATTTAGTTCTGGATTCTAAGGAGTTCCTGAAGTAGGAACTCTGAATACAGAGGAATGGGGAGAGGGGATTGCATTATTTCTGAGTTGCCCAGGTCTCTCCATGTCAAAAACAGGTTCTGCTTTGCCTACTGGCAGTTTCTGGCCTAGGAAACCAAGGGAAGTGTCTAGGATGCTGTCTGGAAACTTTAAGGAACATCTTTCCCTGCACTCCACTTCTTGGAGATATTTTATTTTACTATACAACCTGCAAAGAGGTGCAGAGTTGCATTATCAGAGTCCAGATGTTAGAAGAATCAAGTGTAGGATACGATCATCTGACACTTGTGGCAGTCAGCTGACCTGGGACTTCCATCAGGCAGATACTACTTGTACTCCCTTCCTATCTCCCTGATTGCTGCTGGGCTCTCGGATCACTCTTGGACATTGGAGAGGTCCCTGCCTATGCATGGGGGTTTTCCTCCTTCTGTGGCCAGTGTGGTGGCAACTGCTTTGATATCAACTTCTTATAGCCCCACTGCGAAAAGAAGGTTTATAGCCCCATGGTAGAATGCATGGTCCACACCCCTGTAGACTCTAGGTATTTCTCAGCATTGATTGGATACTGTGAAAGATAGCAGAGAACCCCACTCCTATTAGCCCCACTTTTGGCTGATAGCTTCAGTTGTAAGCAGGGGTGGACATTATGTTGTGTAAACCTCTGGTCTTGCCAGTCATTAGAGCCTTGATCTGACCATTGTCACTGGAGCTAGGAGCTAAAAGCATATGGTCTTTGGACAATTTTCAGTATCTGTACCATTGGCTAGATTACGTTGGTCAGCCCACAGTTAGCTTTCTGTTTCACTTTATGGATGATTGGAGAAGTGAGTATATTTCTAGACCTAAATTTATCTCCACACAGCTTTCATTATGCCCTTATTCTCTCTTTTTAGAGCAAAGGGAAGATTATAGTTTGTTACAAACCTCATCATCAAACCTTTCCAAATTATTTTCCGAAGGCTGTTGTAACAAATTATGGCTGGAATAATTTATTCTTTCACAGTTCAGGAGGCCAGAAGTCCAAAATCAAGGTGTTGGCAGAGTTGGTTTCTTCTGTAGGTATTGAGGGAGAACCTCTTTTACGTCTCTCACCTAGCTTCTGGTGGTTTCCAGCAATCCTTGGCATTCTTTGCCTTGTTGCTGCATTGCTCTGGTCTCTGCCACCATTGTCAAATGGCTGCCCTCCCTGTGTGTGGTGTGCCCTCTCTTATTAAAGGATGCTGGTCATTGGATTTAGAACCCACCCTATTTAGTATTACCTCATCTTAATTTGATTACATCTGCAGAGGCCTATTTCCCAAACAAGATTACATTCACACCAGTGACATCAGCATGGGGGATACAATTCAATCTATGAGAACAAGTATCATGACAAAAATATCTACTGAGATCTTCCTTTTTCTTTTTCTTTTCTTTTCCTTTCTTTTCTTTCTTTCTTTCTTTTTTTTTTTCTTTTTTTTTTTTTTTTTTTTTTGCCTCATAGTTCCTTGTCTAGAATGATGAGTCCAGGTTCTAAGAATCAGCAACATCCCCATGCCACCACTCTGTGATATGCCTTCTGACCGACAACCAGCAATAGTTTTTGGCTTGGTTTGCCATTCCCACTCATGTGACTTGGCAGGACATAAAGCAGTCAGGTTCACTTAGCTTAGCTGGGGCATACAGCACAGGAGACACAGCATATCAGCATGGCTGCCTCAGGTGAGCTCTCAATGAGGGTCTGTACAGTGCTGCAGGTGGTACTGTATCCCCTTCATCAGGTCATTTGTAAGATCTGGTGGATATGTTTGAAACTAACATAGCGTAGGTAAGTCTTGGTCCAATAAGCTGATTGCCTTGTATGAGCCTTGAGCATAGCTTCCAGGCCCCAACCAGCACAAATTTCATTACAAGAGTCACAACCCACTTGTGGAAGCTGAGGTCTGTGCTTACTGAAAATAAGTGAAAAATAAAACAAAACAAAGTGCTAGGAGAAGGTAATGCCAATGTCCTTTTTATGAGAAGAAAGGACTTAAGCCTGACGATGACCCTTTGTTCCCATACATTCAACCCAACCCCAGTCCTGTCCCTTTTATCTTACCTTTTCTCTCATCCTCATCTGCTTCTCTATTTCCTCTAGCAGCCTTTCCTCACTGATCCCTGATCTTTGGAAATAAGCTGTCTCTTTTACATCATTTAGGAAGTCACATTTTTGGTCCCTGCAGGCATAGTAATGCCAAAAGCCTAGAAACCCTCTGCACACCAGGCATACAAGCATTTTATTTTATTTTTAGTTTTTATTACAAATTTTTTTAATGTTTATTCATTTTTGAGAGACAGAAAGAGACAGAACACGAGCTGGGGGAGGGAAAGAGAAAGAGAGACACGGAATCTGAAGGAGGCTCCATGCTCTGAGCTGACAGTACAGAGCCCGATGTGGGGCTTGAACCCATGAACT